CCAAGTAGAAAAAAGTCAAAAGGCGGCCATGGTTTATCCAGTTTCCGTTAAAATCTGCTGTTGCCGGCTGCTTGAGTTAGGGGAAACTCCACCCTGTTTTTCTGATATAAACATAATGTTAAGTTAACATACGCACGCTCGGTTGAAATTTGATGTTTAATCAAATATCACGCAATTTCATCGCAAGAAATCGGCCCCTGATAACATATAAAACAACAATAATGTCAACTGTAAACCTGTTCATGATAAACCAGTGTGATCTTACATTTACTTGCATGCAATTACAATCCTCAGTTCTGCAAAAATGGATGCTTTCATCTTTTTCTTAGCTTTATTCACGTTAATGGCGAGTACCCCTCCAGCAGACGCAGCCGAAACTTCAGCAGCAGCTTTACTTAAAACAGTTGACCAATCGGGGAAAGGGGACTATGAAAAGATACAAGAAGCCATTGATGCAGTGCCATCAAACAACAAAGAAGTTGTTTTCATATTGGTTAAGCCCGGAGTGTATGAAGAAAAGATTGTTGTGCCTGCAGACAAGCCTTTCATTACATTAAGCGGTTCCAAGGCAAATAACACCATAATAACTTCGAGTGATAGTGGGAATATAATCAAATCTGCTACTGTTACTGTGTTGGCTTCAGATTTTGTTGGTCGATATCTCACAATTCAGGTTTGTAATAACGCACCAATCTATTTAATTCATAAACTTGTTTAGTTCGAGTGTTTTCGAGTTAAACTGACTGTTTGTGTGTTATTTCGTGGATAGAATACGTTCCGAAAACACGGAGTTCAAGCAGTGGCACTAAGGGTTTGTAGTGATAGGGTAGCTTTCATTGGATGCAGAATTTAGGTTACCAGGATACGTTGCTAGATGAAACTGGAAGACATTATTACTACAACTGTTACATAGAAGGAGCTGTTGACTTCATTTGTGGGAACGCCGCTTCTCTTTTTGAGGTAACATTTCAAGAACCAGGTACTTACCTATAATTAGCAGATTTGGATCATAAACTTACATATGGAATTCTCCTGGGATTTCATTTCAATTTTTGGGTTATTTCAGAGGTGTCATTTGCATACAGTCTCTGAAGAATTTTCTGCAATTACAGCACAACGAAGGCAGTCTCCTTCAGAAGAGACAGGGTTTACATTCCCAGGTTCCAAGATGACTGGGGAGAGGACTGCAATACTAGGAAGGCCCTGGGGCTCATATTCCAGGGTTGTTTTTGCCCTTACTTATATATCCAATGTCATTCTACCTCGGGGATGGGATGACTGGGGGGACGCATCCATGCAAAGGTAAAATCAAAAGAAACTCTCAAAATCAGTACTGATCTTGAAATTCTGGGATTGCACAAATTATGAATATTGTTTGCTTTTGATTTATGTTTAGGCATTTGATTTTTGCAGCACGATGTTTTACTATGAATATAAATGTTACGGACCAGGAGCCAATACAAGTCAAAGGGTTGAATGGTCACAAAAGCTGGCGCCTAAAGAGGTTGAGCTTTTCTTATCAAAAAGCATAGTTGAGGCCAAAAGTTGGATCAAACCTACCCCGAAACATTTCAAGAAACCTTTCCTTGCCATTTCTAACAATTCCACCGAACATCCTTAGTCCTGGACAACATTAGTAGTGTACATGCTTAATGTAACTATATCATATTAGAAAAATCCTCTGTATTGAGAAATTGAATAAATAAAATTTTTAAAATAATGTTTATATTTATTCTAATGTATAAAACTATTTTTAATTTCAACTAACTAAAATTAAATAATCTCTAGTGGGATGAGACATTAGATCCCTTAAGCAAGATCAGATATTCGAATATTGTCGTTTGTGAATGGAGCAAACTGGATTGGGAGGATCGCCATTACATCTGCAATACATGAACCAAATTAGTCGATTAATAAAGGATAAACTACATAGTTTGTCACCTTAAACGTATGGTCATTGTATTCAAAAAAATATAATTCGTAGCTACTTTCGTTTTATTTTAATTAAGATGTAATTACTGAAACTTTAACTTCCATTAGTTAGATGGTGTGACACGTTAGTAAAAATGTTTAATTTTTATTTAAACTCTTGAACTTTAAATAAATTATTAATATGGGTTTTTTGTAAACTTAAAATATTTCAGGGATTTATCCCCTTTTTTTCTATAAGTTTTCTTCCCCAACTTATCTTCTCCGCCGCTTCCCCTGCTTCATCTGATTTTGCCTTCGAGAGCCTTGGTGGTTAAATTGCACTATCTGATTTGTTCCCTTGCAGCTATACTGAGAAACAACAACAACTAAACATTTCCGCACTAAGTAGGCTCTACTAAATGTATAACTACACACCCAAAATATGCAAATATATTCATGGGACAACCAATAAAGTATTCAAATATTATCTAAATTCAAAAAAACAAAGCACCAAAATTTGGGGAAGAATTGGATTGCCCAGTAATTATTAAGTAAACTCTAGAATCTACAACATATAACAAAGCAACCCAGAAACCATTAACACCAAATGATAACACAAAATCTATCAAATCCAAAATCACGCTTTCCCTAGCAACATCCCAGAATTTAACAACAGCATCGTCACCTCCGGAGAGCAAATGGAGATTATCGAGAACCATGTAATTAATGAACCAAACCGAGAGGGTATGAGACCAGAGTCTACGAAGTGAGGTCCGGGTTTGACATCGAAGACTTGGATGAGACCAGTGAGATCAGAAGCGACTTAGAGCAGGCCGTCGGAACGGAAGGACAAAGAAGAAACGACGTCGGAGAAGGAGGTGATGGTGGATGAAGGTGAAACGTCGCCGTCTGAGAGAGAGACTGGGGAGAAGAGGGAAACGGAGGCGGAGTAGGCGACGACGAAAGGGTGGGCGACGAAGGGGAAAAGGAAAGGGAAGAGATGGAGGAGATGAGGTTAGGGATACGAGTGGATTTGAAAGAAGAAAAAAAAATGGCTGACCCTTGTTCCCATATGTAATTAATGAACCAAACCGAGAGGGTATGAGACCAGAGTATACGAAGTGAGGTTCGGGTTTGACATCGAAGACTTGGATGAGACCAGTGAGATCAGAAGCGACTTAGAGCAGGCCGTCAGAACGGAAGGACAAAGAAGAAACGACGTCGGAGAAGGAGGTGATGGTGGATGAAGGTGAAACGTCGCCGTCTGAGAGAGAGACTGGGGAGAAGAGGGAAACGGAGGCGGAGTAGGCGACGACGAAAGGGTGGGCGACGAAGGGGAAAAGGAAAGGGAAGAGATGGAGGAGATGAGGTTAGGGATACGAGTGGATTTGAAAGAAGAAGAAATAATGGCTGACCCTTGTTCCCATATGTAATGGAGTAAGGAGATGTAAGATAGTAGGCTGCCCTCAACACCAGGTTGAGAGTAGCTTCCGTAGAAGACCTCCGAATTATGAAATGTCTTCCGTGGGACTCGATCCCACGACCTCAAGGTTAAAAAAAGAGTAAATTATAACTTTATCCCTAAATTATTTTGAATTTATAAATTGATCTATAATTAGTATTTTATCTAAGATTTAGGGGGTTAAAGTAAACAATTAAACCCTTTTACTAATATTTCACGTCATCAAACTAATAAAATTTAATATTTTAGTGACCACATCTTAAATAAAACAAAACGAAAGTAACTATAAATTATGTTTTTTAAATCTAATGGCCCATACGTTTATAAAACTGCTTAATATATCAATTGAAAAAGCTAATATACTTTGAAAAAATATTTAGAAATTATTTGAAAAGTAACATAAATATATGTTTTCAAATTATTATTTAGAAAATAAAATAATTAGTAAAAGAATTGCTTAATATATCAATTGAACTTTAAATTTGACCACATCAACCCTATATATTACTTAAAAAATCTAATTTCAAATTTAAAGTAAATAAAAAAAATAAAAGTATCAAATTAATAAAATATCAATAAATGAATATATTAAGCTAAAAAATCTCTCACCAATTAACCCTCATATTAACTCATTATTGGTGCTTTAAATGTTTTAAGTACCCTCTAATTATTTTGTTTTCTCTTTGCATACTTAGACACTTAAACGATTTTGATACTCTTTTTAATTCGGCCTTACATCTTTTAGTTATTGTTATACATATTTGAACCCATTATCAATCATTCAACTTTTATTTGAAGAGTCGATAAAGTTAATTCGGTATGTTAAAGAAAGTGTTGTTTTTTTAGAGATTTTATGTTCAAGTAATTACGTTTGTAAGGTGTGGTATACATTGTCAATAGTTAAAAAAAATTGAACAAATATTATCTTGTACTATTAAAAAACTTTTTAAAAAATAGATAAGAAACAATGGTAATCTTAAATGATTGTGTCAATGTCGTTAACTTCGAAGATGTGTGAAGATCAACATTAACCTTGAAATCGGATAAATTCATCGACTCTATTATATTTGTTTATATCAAACAAAAACAGTCGTATGGTTTCATATTAGGTTGGACGAACTTATAAAACTTTAAAATAGAAAAAAACTTATAAATTTAAGAGGGATAAAACTATTTTCAATTAGGGCGACCACCCCTATAAATCCATCCTCGGTACCAAGTGGACCAGCGTGAGCAGCCATTTTTTATTATTATTTATCCTCTTAACCCGATGGATTTCGGCTTAGAAACTGGCAATCTTAAATGATTGTGTCAATGTCACCTATAGAGTTGATCACTTCGAATGGGAGATAAGAATGCCACAGAGAAGTCAGTTCCATCAGCCCACGACTTTCATAAAACCCCCTGTTTTTCCCATAGTTTTCAATGGAAAGTTTATTGGCTGTTAAAGAGTTGGTGAAGCTTGGCCCTATCATTTTGGCCAACATCGCCTCCATTTTCAATGTGAAAACAATACAGAAGAAAACAACACATGATCTTGAGGATAAGGAAGAAAAAAAAAACAAAGGAAAAGATGACCATCAGGGTCCCCACCGCCTCTATATAAAAGGCTTTCCCCGAGGTATTTGCTGATACATAGTCACATATCATTACTTAAAAAAGTCTGGTTTTTGGAGCAAGTCGGCCAAATGGGTTCTCTAATGGCGGGATGGGATTCTACTGTATCAGAATCAGATCCTGAATCAGGTAATTTCAGTGAACACTTTACTTGGTTTAGTGTTTCCATGCTTTGCCTTTGTTGTTCAACTTATTTGAAAACATTTTCAGTCATACGCGAAAGAAATCGATCGCTTACCAAGGAAGAGATTGAAGCTTATTGGAAGTCACAGAAGGGAATGGAGGAAGAACATCTCAAGGGTACCTTTAGTCCATCAGATAGCTGCAACCCCTTGTCCAATACAAAACAGGACGTGGATGCAGAAACAAACCTGGAGAATATCATGAAGAAAAATGGGTGGTGAGCAGCCAAAAGAAGGGTTTAAAGTTGAAGTATTTTCATTAACATAATAAGTTTAATGTAAATGAATGCAGGTGGAGAAGGAGCAATTGGGCATTCTTGAATGAACCGCCAGTTCTTGACCGCCATATCAGCAGTTACAAACCACAGTTCCACGTTGCCAACCTTGCTGCTTCCAAGCTTAACAAAAATTCCGGAATCAGTGTTTAATCTTCGGCTCTGTGCTATCTTTTGTGGCCATATCTTTTATGTTATAAAAAGTTGTAAGAGCATTGTTTAGATGTCTGCTTGTGCATGAGTTCGTGGAGTCTATACATTTTTTTCTGAGCCAAAGTCTGTACATAAATATGAAGGGGAATGAATCCGTATTAAGCATTTGTTCTGGTGATGACATCATTCGGAACTGCGAAGAATTGTGTTAAATCTTTGTATTGTTGATTCATTTCGCTTTTTGTCGAGATTACGATGATATAATGGTGTTGCGAACTCAGAGATAAAGAAAGCTTCTACGTATCACTTATTGTCCAAGGTCCATGGGCTGAATTTTGAGCAAGATGATCCTACAATTATTACAAAAGTTACGTATGTTTTGTGATACATTTTTATTTACTGAATAAATAAAAGTTTTTATGTAGAAAAAAATGAAATTTTAGAAACTAGACATATTTCTAATGGGTATATAGAGATTTAATTCATAAAATTATGATTTTATATTCTATTCTACAAAATTTTTACTATAATATATTATATGTCGAAAATAATTGAACGATAAATGAGAAATTAATATTCAAAATAAGTTACTTATGAATTATATTGTGCAAAATTAAAAATTTAGATCTAATACTAAGTGTGGAAGGTGTTTATACTCAATAAAATTGGGGTGCACCCACGTGACGTAGACGACGTGAAATATTCAAACTAATGATAAAAAGAGGTGAAGTTACATGTTGTTGATAAGTGACATTTATGTTCATCTTATTGTTGTATCCTAACATAGATCAAATTTATCTTAAGAACATTGTGTAAATATGTCTTTAACAACTTTGATCATTCGATTTTATTCTTTAATTTTAATGTTATATTTATTTTAATTCGTTCAATTCAATAATAATATCTAATTATTCTATTATTTTATTTTTCAAATTAATTGTCTAATAATATATTTATTAAAAAAGAAAAATATTATTATTCGGTGCGAGTGTTACTCTCTATTTTTTACACCGACCCCAAAAAAGAAAAATTATGCCAAAGCCGGTTCATGAACCTCATGATCACATGATCTAACACAAGATCCCTTATTTTTTTTTCTAGTTTTGATCGGACAAGATCTCTTGTTCGGTTTTCGAGCATGTGCATGCATAAATTAGGGAAAGTCTCACATACGGAATATACGATTAATGAAAAATATTATTGAAAATGTTATAATTTTTTAAATAAATTTTGTAAAAAATTATCATAAATATTATTATTTTTACTGAAAATATTATTATTGAATGTTTATCGGATTTGTTAATATATTTGATAAAGCGTTATCTAAAATATTATTTTTTTTCTACTAGAAATATTAATATTAAATATTTTACCAAAAATATTAATATTTTAAGTAAAAAATAATTTTTTAGATAATTTTTTATAAAAAATATTAAAAAATCGAATATTAATACTATCTACGACATAACTTACCGCATGAATTGGGGTCGTTCTGCGGTGCGGCGCCTAAAAAACGGCTAATATACGGCGTGACCGGTTAAACAAGTGACCGGTTAAAATTTAGACCGGTTATGTTATATTATTTAACCGGAAATATTATAAAGTACAATAACATACTAGGTAGCGCTTATATAATGTAATAGGTAGCGCTTATATTTACCTATTTTATAAGTAAACCAGTATATTTATACCGATAGCATTGCAAATTTACCTATTACATTATATTATATTGAAAGTGTCCATACTTTTTATAAAAAGGATCGATACTTTAACAGTGTTTCATGTTTTCCACCTACAATATTGATTTAATAATTTCATTTGCACAAAAAATTATTTGATTGTTTTGATATTTTATAAAATATTATTTAGAATTTTTAATTTAATAATAATATATACCGTAACGTAAAAAATAAATCATTAGACGCCTATAATTACTAAATTAATATCTTAAAACTCACTCAAAAGATAACCTTAAATTAATGTTTTCCACAGTGAAAAAAGTATGGACACTTTTATAAAAAGGATAGACACTTTACAATATAACCACTACCTATTGCTTGGCATCATATGAGATTTGGATTTTGATTTCCTTTGCTTGGCACCAAATGAGCTTTGGATTTGATGAGCATCGGAAGTATTTCAGACTTATGATTTGGGTGGTACTCAACTTATGATTTTAGTTGCTATTTGTTACATTTCTTGTATACCACCCAGATCATACGCCCGAAACGTTTCTGACGCTTTAAAGTTGACCAAAAAATAAAATGGTCGGGATTTCCCTCGCGTTTATACGTTGGAAAAAAAACAATGGAAATTAGGAATAATCAATGATAACATGCATATTGGCTTGGGCTAATATTTATAGTGGAGCCGAAATATATATTGAAATTCAAACTCAAATTGAAATTTAAATTCAAACTCCAATTACATATGAAATGAATTTGAAATGCAGTGTTAAATTGAACATGAAAATTGCATAATTGATTCATACTGTTCAAGTAACATGCTTTATGAACCATCAAGCTAAAAGACAATATTGATTGAGTTCAAAGCTGAGTTGTGAGTTGATGGAGTTGTCACACTTGTCACATGGTTGGAATAAAGTACTCACATGCGAGATAGATACCTATTACATTATATAAACGATACCTATTACATTATATAAGGGCTACCTATTACATCATATGTTTACCTATTATATTGAAAGTGTCCATACTTTTTATAAAAAGGATCGATACTTTTTTTAAAACTTATGTAATTTATGTTTCAATTTTTTTAACAGTGTTTCATGTTTTCCACCTACAATATTGATTTAATAATTTCATTTGCACAAAAAATTATTTGATTGTTTTTATATTTTATAAAATATTATTTAGAATTTTAAATTTAATAATAATATACCGTAACGTAAAAAATAAATCATTAGACGCCTATAATTACTAAATTAATATCTTAAAACTCACTCAAAAGATAACCTTAAATTAATGTTTTCCACAGTGAAAAAAGTATGGACACTTTTATAAAAAGGATAGACACTTTACAATATAACCATTACCTATTACATTATATAAACGATACCTATTACATTATATAAGGGCTACCTATTACATCATATGTTTACCTATTATATTGAAAGTGTCCATACTTTTTATAAAAAGGATCGATACTTTTTTTAAAACTTATGTAATTTATGTTTCAATTTTTTAACAGTGTTTCATGTTTTCCACCTACAATATTGATTTAATAATTTCATTTGCACAAAAAATTATTTGATTGTTTTTATATTTTATAAAATATTATTTAGAATTTTTAATTTAATAATAATATATACCGTAACGTAAAAAAATAAATCATTAGACGCCTATAATTACTAAATTAATATCTTAAAACTCACTCAAAAGATAACCTTAAATTAATGTTTTCCACAGTGAAAAAGTATGGACACTTTTATAAAAAGGATAGACACTTACAATATAACCATTACCTATTACATTATATAAACGATACCTATTACATTATATAAGGGCTACCTATTACATCATATGTTTACCTATTATATTGAAAGTGTCCATACTTTTTATAAAAGGATCGATACTTTTTTTAAAACTTATGTAATTTATGTTTCAATTTTTTTAACAGTGTACTGCGAATTTAAAATGATAATATACTTGTAGTTATTGTACATACCTAAATATGTACTGCGAATTTAATGTTGTACCCACCCTTTAACTACAGAAACATGTTCAAAATGAACCTTCGTTTACATATCCATCAACTCCTGGAGCACTGAACTTGCACAACAAAATTTTTGCCATGGATAATACTGATGTAGACAATGTTAAGCCAACCGAGGAATGCCATGAAGTACATAATGTTGATGAATCTGACAGATTGGTTGGTCAGCTCTTCTGTTCACGTGATCAAGCTTGGCACTTTTACAAGGGATTCGCACGGGAACATGGGTTTAGTGCACGTAAGGGAACAACACGGCTTGACGTGGAAGGGAATGTGAAGACACAAGAATTTTGTTGTTCCAAAGAAGGGTTTCGAGTATCAAAAGTCAATACTGTTGATCGTCAATGTGCTCATACGCCAGTCACAAGAACAGGATGTAAGGCTAGAGTCGTAGTTACAGCAACAAATACAAACGATCAGTGGGTTATAAGTAAGTCTGATCAGAAACATAATCATGCATTGTGCACATCTGCTATGACACCATTTATGCGTTCTAATCGAGCTGTAAGTAAGGCTGATATCGATGAGGCAACAACATTGAAAGAGGTCGGTGTTGGCACGTCACAAGTAATGAACTATTTAACGCAGCAGGCAGGGGGCTATCATAATGTTGGATTTACACATAAAGACCTCTACAATGCACTTCAAAGAGGTAAAGCAAAGGAAATCGTCGATGGGGATGTGAATGCGCTTATTGCCTACTTTGATTATAAGAAACATGATGATCCCGGGTTTTTTATGACATACTCGGTAGACGAATCGGGGGCATTGTATAATCTTATTTGGTCGGATTCTACATCGAGATCGGATTACACATGCTTCGGTGATATAATGCGTTCGACACAACGTACAAAGATAATTTGTATGGTCGACCAATTATGCCTATTGTTGGTGTCAATCATCACCATAACACAATTGTGTTTGCCACTGCCATAATCGCTGACGAAACGTCTCAATCTTTCGAGTGGGTGCTACAGAATTTTATAGAAGCCATGATGAATAAATCACCTATTTCTGTTGTAACCGATGGGATAGGGCAATGCAGAGGGCTATCAAATCTGTTATCCCTTATGCTAAGCACAGATTATGTTCTTGGCATCTTTCTCGCAATGCACAAGCTAACATTGGTGACCCAAAGTTTACAGCAGCATTCTCAAAATGCATGGCTTCCTGGTGGACAACCAAGGAATTTGATATTCAATGGCGTTCGATTGTTTCAGAATTCAACGTCCAAAAGCATCCATGGGTGATTGAGAAGGGAAATACACGACACTTATGGGCACAAGCATATCTAACCGGTCATTTCTTTGCCAATATTCGCTCAACACAAAGGTGCGAGTCTATGAATGCTTCACTAGCTATTGCACTGAAACACAAGAAGACATATTTAGATGTTGTTCGTGCAATTGAAGATGGAATTAGTAGAATGC